TTAAATGTTTGCAGCTCTCCCGAGGCAACGTCAGTAAACCCAAACGTCAACAGTCGGATGACAATTGTCCAGCCCACGAGCTGGGCCAGCTCGCGCCCTGGCTAAGGCAAGGACAGATTTGCCTTACTAATCTGGTCGGCCATGTTTTCAAGCGCTAGCGCTGATCCATGTGTGCCTCAGCCAGCCCACGAGTTACGCCCATTCGGCTTCCCAAGCTCGCGCCCTAGCTAAGGCCAGGGCAGATTTACTAATCTGGTCGGCCATGTTTTCAAGTGCAAGCGTCGATCCATGTGTGCCTCAGCCAGCCCACGAGTTACGCCCATTCGGTTTCCCAAGCTCGCACCCTGGCTAAGGCAAGGGCAGATTTACTAATCTGGTCGGCCATGTTTTCAAGCGCAAGCGCCGATCCATGTGTGCTTACACCCATTCGGCTTCCCAAGCTCGCGCCTTGGCTAAGGCAAGGGCAGATTTACTAATCTAGTCGGCCATGTTTTCAAGCACAAGTGTCGATCCATGTGTGCTTATGCCCATTCGGCTTCCCAAGCTCGCGCCCTGGCTAAGGCAAGGGCAGATTTACTAATCTGGTCGGCCATGTTTTCAAGTGCAAGCGCCGATCCATGTGTGCTTACACCCATTCGGCTTCCCAAGCTCGCGCCTTGGCTAAGGTAAGGGCAGATTTACTAATCTAGTCGGCCATGTATTCAAGCACAAGCGCTGATCCATGTGTGTTTATGCCCATTCGGCTTCCCAAGCTCGCGCCCTGGCTAAGGCAATGGCAGATTTACTAATCTAGTCGGCCATGTTTTCAAGCGCTAGCACTGATCCATGTGTGCCTCAACCAGCCCACGAGTTACGCCCATTCAGCTTCCCAAGCTCGCGCCCTGGCTAAGGCAAGGGCAAATTTACTAATCTGGTCGGCCATGTTTTCAAGCGCAAGCGCCGATCCATGTGTGCTTACGCCCATTCGGCTTCCCAAGCTCGCACCCTGGCTAAGGCAAGGGAAGATTTACTAATCTGGTCAGCCATGTTTTCAAGCGCAAGCGCCAATCCATGTGTGCCTCAGCCAGCCCATGAGTTACGCCCATTCGGCTTCCCAAGCTCGCGCCCTGGCTAAGGCAAGGGCATATTTACTAATTTGGTCGGCCATATTTTCAAGCGCTAGCGCCGATCCATGTGTACCTCAGCTAGCCCACGAGTTATGCCCATTCGGCTTCCCAAGCTCGCGCCCTGGCTAAGGCAATGGCAGATTTACTAATCTGATCGGCCAAATACCTAAGCTAAGCAGCCGATCTAACCATAACCGAAAGCAATATCATTCATCAACATTTTCCTTAGCCAGTTGAGCACAACTCATAAAATATTATATACTCAAGTTACCAAACAAAAAGCTACAAGCCCGCATAAAAATGCCTAGCAAAAAACTATGACTGTAGCAACAGATGAAAAATACTAAATTAAAAACTGTAAAAATACATTCGACATCCTAAAAACTATGTCAGTCGGCCGGATCAGCCATCGGAATCAGACTCCAATGGCTCAACATCCACTTGCTCATATGGTATTGGCATAATCAATGAAGCGTTAGCAGCAGCAAGGGCTTTGTGCCAGCCATGTTTGAATCCCCGATTTTCAAACTTGGGGACTTGGTCCACGTACTCGGCGAATCCAGCATTTTTCCCGGCCTCGAATACTTTGGAAGACTCTGAGTCGGCTGCTTCCTTCGCCGCCTTCATTTCAGCCAACTCAGCCTCCAGTTTGGAGATCGCCTTCTGGGCCAATTTGAGCGCATCTTCGCTCGTGTCCGCCTTCTTCTCGTCATCCGATCTCAATTGATCCGCGCAATGAGCCCTCTCCATCTCGACGTCGGCCCTTGAGGCTTCCTTGTTCGCCCTCTGAGCTTCGACCTCGGCCCTTCTCCTCTGGCCTTCAACTTCCTCGCGCAAATAACTAATCTGTTTGACGGCGTCACCATGGCGACGGCCCATATCGGCTATCCATCCGACGGTCCGTAAAACAAGAATTCAAACCATAACTTCAACAGTATTTGGATTAAATGAAGCTAAGTTCGAATATGTACCAAAAGTGCCGATTGGGCGGCTAGTGTTGTCGCATTCAGATCCGTTTCCACTCGGAAAGCCTCCTTGTCAGACGGCAACGACACGGACGGAGCCAAGCTGAATGCGACTTATGGATCTTTAAGCACCGAAGCGTCAGAAGAAACCGGCATGTTTTTTATCATCGGCTGAATGAAAAAAGGAACGATCACGTCCGATCCCTCTAATCGAGGACGTTTGCTGTCGTGTTCTTCTAAGCCAACCTCAAACCCGGCAGGGTGTTTCTCTACCTCAACTTCTTGGTCGGCCTGCACGATCAACGTAGTTCGGCATCCCGATTTTTCGCCGTCTCCACCTCAACGTGCAAAAACTCTAATTCGCTAACAAGCAAGGAGAATTGAGATTCGGTGGCGGGTGGTACTTCAGACGGAAGGGCCTCCGCTCTTCACCGCGCGGCCAACCTTTCCGCATTCGCCTTCCTGGCAAGTTTTGTTAGGCTTAACCCGGCCATGTCTTCGGGGTCTGCGGCGGGAATATCCTCTAAGCCGTGAAAAATGCCGTCAAGTGAAAGATCCCCTCGGCCCGAAGTGGATGGGGGATCAGCCGAATTCAATACCGCGTCAGACTCGATTTTGGACTGATCTGATTCGGTAACATTAGCTACATCCCGCTCCGAATCGGACCCCCCAAAACCAACCTGCCTCAAGTTTTTGAAGTCGGACAAAATAAGAGCGATGAGAGAATCTTCACCCTCCGGAACCGGGATATTTTCTGCCACCGAGAAGGTCGTATATGTCGGCTCGTAACGAAGTAGAATGTGGGCCGCCCTGCCTTGTTTCTGAAGACTTCGACGGCCAAAATATTTGAGCGCGACTTCGATATCTGAAAGAACGGTGCCGTCAGTTTAAGACAGAACTTTCTTCAAATTGCTCTCTACACAAGCCAAGCCATAACATTTCAAAGAAGAGGCTTTACAACAAAAATGAACAAATAATAAAAGTGAGAAGGCAATCAGCCACTTGGCTCACCCCTCCGTCTAGGAATAGGGTCGACGTGATCCTCCCCTCCGCCAAATTCCCAGTTACCCTGGACAACAACCATAACATCATCAACTCATTTTCCAGAACTGGAAAGCATAGTAATCAGTTGATGGTCGATATCCTTGGCCCTAAGGAAGAAACGCCCGTGCCGAACAAAAGACTTAGCCAAGGCATAACAATGCCAGATGGCTGGAATGCCAAGGTTAATTCTTAGGCGACGGTTGAGCGCTATAACCCCCATTATGATTCCAAAGAAATTCACATTAGGTTGGGAAGGGATTAGACCCCAATGGCGAAGCACAGCCCTAAGAAACGGGTGAAGGGGGAAACAGACTCCACCCTCTGCAATTGACAAAAGAGGAAAGACAATCGTGGTTTTGTCCTCCCTCTCCATATCAAGAGTGTCGTCTACCACAAACGACAAACAGACATCATCAGGAATGGAGAAATGGCGTTTAAAGCCAGCAATTCGATCTGACGAGAGGAGGTCTTTTAAATGTTTCGCCATACCTTACAGTTTATGAGAATATGCCAAGGAAGGAATAAACCAGAAAGAGTCTTCGCAGCAAGGGAGGAGAGAACTTACAAAGGACGAAGAGGATATCGGAGAAAAGAGTTTCAGGGACGATTGAAAAGGCAATCCAGCGATGAGCGTCATAAAATACATACTTGAAAGGACGTCAAAATTTTAAATCGCAATAAATAGACACGTACGAGGGGATGGGAGGTCGACACAACAACCGAAAGGGGTGCGCTTAGATATCCACATGAGGATGAGGCCAACTGCCGAATTTTGGCTCCGACTTTTCGAAATTCAAAACCAAGCACTCCAGCCAACTGTCATCAGTGAAGTGCTTGGGGGGCAATTGTGGGAGCTGAATAAGTAGAACAGTCGGAAGATGCGTACCCCAGAAATTAGATACTGTTCGGTTTCATGTTGCGTGACTAGGACGCCGAATACGTTAAGAAAGCCGAATAAACGGAGGTTAGTGGCTCCGAATGAATAAAAGGGAAATGAGATAAAAGTAGGCTCAGGCCCCGAGGCCCAAAAAGCAAGTATAAATACAAGAACCACAGATTTAGAAAGGTAGGTAAGAATCACTTCACAAAACATAGTAGACAAGCTATTCTGAGTGTCTGAACTAACTTGTCCGTCAGAGTGCTAATTCCGGCACCCCCGATCGGAGTGTTGGTGTCTTTTCAGGTGACTAGCTGAGGATCACTAGCGTCTCCCAGGATCTGAAGAGTATTTCCAAAACCACTTCTCCACAAAATACATTGCATATGTATGGATATTTGTTTGAGAGGAGAAAGGAGATGGACTCCATTATAATTAAGTTGGTCGGAGTGTCCTGGGTGAAAGTCCTGAAATTATACATGGGTGCTTGGCCCGTGGGCGAAATATCTGTAAAATGGCAATTGTAGTGGTTGCATAGCCTACGTTTACATGGGTCCCGTTTGACGGCCGCTCACAGACGAAATTTCCGTGAAATAGAAGTTTGAAGTGTTTATGCATATGTGTTGTATGATTTGAAAATTATTGAGTTGTAGCCTCAATTTGGTTGTTGTGAAATAATGAAATTGACTCATAAATTGAGAAGGGTAAGAAATCGAAATGAAAATTGTAAGGAAACGGAGTAAGACTTGAAAGTGATATCTCATGAGTATGTAAAGTTGTGAAACGTTTCATCACATGCATTGTTTATGCACTGGTACTTATACCTTTGCTAAATTTCATATACTGTGTTAGATGATTTCTACTGGGCTGTGGTTCACCCTATTGGGAATAACATTTTTAGGTAATGATGGCATGCCTCCTCCAAGGCAATAGCATGGGAGGGATCTTTGGGAAGCAAGAGCTTCATGTTTTGTTTTCATTTCTGTATAGCCTAGGGCTAAATATGTAATGAGCAAAGCTCATTTTGTTGCAACCAAGTCAAGACTTGGAAAGGTATAAGCCAATAGGGCATTTTCTTCTGTCAAACTCTTTTGTAGGAGTAACTTTATGTAATGAAAAGACGATTTACTTTGATTTACATTATCTTTTATATATGTTTATGGATGTATTTATGGTATGATTTTGGGGGCATTACACATTGCTTACAATTTGATGAATGTGTGATTTTTGCTTGGCACTAAACTTAGTGAGAGAACTCTCTTTTGAATCATGCTTAAACTCAAAGGAAAAAAGATAAAATAATTTAGAATACTGGAAAAACAATAATAAAAAGGAAGAGAATAGAAGTGAGTGATTAAACATGCTTAAACCTGAATAAGAGATAATATGCTTAATTATAGCGTAGAGAGAAGCTAATAGATTGTTTTATTTTTCAATTTATGTTCGGCATAAGTTGTAACTCATCAGTTGTAGAAGCGATATTGAATTAGCTTAATTATCTTTATTATACCAATTAAAATTTATTGAATCATGATATTTGTGGATATTTTTTTTACCTTGTACCTCTTATAGTATAGATTTTATGTGATTTTTTTTTATTAATAGAATTTTATGTGAGATGAAAGATGTTTACTTTTTATTAGATTTATTTTTGGAAATAATGAGCTATCATTGCATGTATTTATATCCTTTTTAAAAGGTGTAGATTTTTGTTTTAGGACAAATTGTGGATTCCCCCCCCCCCTCCCCCTTTTTTTAGTGTTGACCCAAGCTTTTGAATTACACTAAATATTTCTAAATTTTAATTTTTAATGTCTAAGGATAGCCAATAGCTGTTTTTAAAATTCTATAAAAATGAAAAAATTGAGTTTAATGTTTTCAAGCATTTAGAGTCTCTTAGATGAAAAATCACTTTAATTGATTTGTATGAAATTACTGAAATCACTCAAATGGCTTCATGAGGAGCACTCCCTTGTGCTTAATGGCAAATGGCTTCTTCAAGCCATATCAATAAATCCATATGAGGAGATTGTCCTTGTTAGTTTAGTACACCAAGTTCTCATTTGTAGTGGTTTGTTGACAACAATTGGGTGGTGTTTGTGGTGGTTTTTGGAGGCATTCACGATCTTGGGGTAATGTATTTCTTGGGTTTGATATTTGTTGTGGTGATGGTGGTCAATAGTTGTTAGTTAGGGGTGTTCAAAAAAAAATGATAGAATCGATAAATCAATTCAATCTGGTCTAAATCATTAGTTTAGTTAAGCTAGTTCTGGTTTTGAAAATGGTGGAACCATTCAAATCGGTTCGGTTCCCGCTTCCAAGGCTTTGATTATGGTTCCAAACCGAATTGGACAGTGACATATTTGCTTATTATTTTTTATATTTTTATATAATAATTTAAAATATGAAATGTTTCTTATAAGATTTGAACACTAGCTATCATTGTGACATTGATAAGCTTTAACCAACATAACTAAACTAATTATTATTAATTTATTTAGTAACATCAAATATATATCATATTTATTATTGCATCAAATTTTTAGAAACGTAAACCAAACCAAACAATAGAGGGGCCGACAAATATAGAGTGGTATGGTTGTGGTCTAAAGGTAAGTGGGGCATCACCTAAGTCGCGTATGGAATTTAATCATTTTACATTAAGTCGCGTATGGGGTGGTGTTCTTAAATTTTCAGTCTTTTTCACACGTGAACCTATAATGAAAAGACATAACTTGTTATCTATTATAGTTAGATAATAACATGTGAAGATAACTCTAATTAATTATTTATATTATAAATAAATATTTTTTATTTATTCATTTCCTTTTTATTTTTTCTTTTTATCAATTTTTGAAATCAGGTTCACGTTTCTACTGTTATTATTTGGGCTATCATCATCTTCATCAATTCAAAGTTTGTAGTAGCCCAAGGTACAGATCCAAAACTACAAAAACCTTATTGGTTTGATACTAAACATATTTGGGAAGTAAAAGGAATAAATAGTCCTATTATAATAATAATTATTGTATTTGTTATTTTAATTGTAGTTGTAGTTTTTTTTATTATTTGGTTAAGACATGTGCATGCAGCTGGTTTAGGATTAGCACCACCAGTTATTGCACAAGGATTTGATCCACCGGTAGTGGAGTCATTTCCTGTGCTTACCTTTCCTATTGATGGAGAGGTTGGTTTTGATATTACTGATTGTCACATATGCTTGGAGAAGTTTCTCCAAGGAGACAATGTACGAGTGCTCCCTGCTTGCAGGCATATTTATCATATTGATTGTATCCAAACTTGGCTTACTAGAGATACTCAATGCCCTGACTACCGTTATGACTATGCAACATGGAAATTAGAAAGCATGCCACCTGATTTACCTTGAGTTGTGCTTCTTACTCAAGGTAAATCATGGGGCATCTTTCCAATTACTATGTTGAATAATTATAACAATAGTTAGGACATCGAGAGTCTCTAGAAGTTAGCTAGGCTTGGATATATTCAATGTCATAAATATGCTTGCAAATGGGAGCACTTGTACACTTTCTCTGTTCCTTAACTCCTCTAAACATATATGACAGTCAATAGTTACAAAACCAACCCCTCTGACGATTAGTAAGAAAGATAAACATAAGAAATGACTCCATTATTCCTGTGCAATAACTGAGTAAAATACCACACAGAACAACTATTGCTACGATAGGGCGAACTGCATGTACCTTAGTAAGGTTATAGATGTAATTTCACTGTACTTGTACATTTTTATTAGTCAATGATTAAAAATAAAATAAAAAAGGGGGCCAATTTGTTTCTTGTGTTGTTTGTTTACTATTGATGGTGTTTTTATTATTTGCTTCATCAAAATAAAAATATACAGTGTATTCAATCCTTGCCTTAGAAATGTGCAATAAAAATAAGAAACAAGCCTTGACCTTTCCTTTTCAAAAATCTAAAGGAGGGCCCAATTCTAGAACAAAATTGTGATGCATTAAAAAATTACATTCCCATCTATTAGTGAAAAATGTATCAGTGATGTCACCACTACCCGATTTTCGCCATCATCATGGAAGATCAAAGATAGACTAGTACCCTAACAAAGATTCATTCACTTGTTTCCTGCACCAGTAAATAAAATTTTAAAATTAAAATAAAAACGAAGTAAGGATCGCATAACAATAAATACAAGCATTGTAGTCACGATTATTACAATAGACAAAAACAAAGATAGGATTTGTAGATAAGGCAGCATCAAAAAGGAGAATCAAATAACTGATACTTGCAAGTCAAATACACCTAAACATATAAGGATCCATAAAACATAATACCTATAGATTGATGGTTCAATTGAATAGAAGAAGAAAATATAAATGATAACCTAACCTCTCTGGAAGGTGGAATTTTTTGTTCAAAATAATGGCTGCTATGTAGTTTCCAATTAGGTTTATTTCTTGGGTTATTCAGTGTGTCCACAACTAGTTATTCCATTGTGTTAGTTATTCCATCGTGTTGAATGGAGAATTGGAAGGCTATTTCAAGGGAGAAAAAGGTTTAAGGCAAGGGGATCCAATTTCCCCTTACCTTTTTCTTTTAGTTATGTGCTCTTTTTAAGTGTAATTTGACTCACGGTCAATTTACTTTCCATCCTAAGAGCCAATCTTTGGGTATCAGTCACTTAGCCTATGTGGATGACCTTTTTGTTCTGTGTGGGGCTGATATTCAATCATTCAGAATTATAAATGACACTTTACATCAATTCCATTTATGGTCTGGACTTCAACGTAATCTACAGAAGAGTGTTGTCTTCTTTACTAAGATTTCTTCTGTTTTAAAAGTTGATTTACTGACTCTTCTTCCAATTCCTGAGGGTCTATTACTTGTCAAGTACTTGGGTGTGCCTCTTATTTCCACAAGATTGAGGTATGATGATTGTCTTCAACTAAATGACAGAATACACTCTAGGATTTAGTTGGGGGCAAATAAGCTCTTGTCATATAGGGGAAGCATGTAACTTATTCAAATAGAATTGTTTTGTGTATAGATCTATTGGAGTTCCCTTTTTATTTTTCCTCAAAGAATTCTAAAGGAGGTGGAAAGTTTGATTAGAGCCTTTTTATGGTTTGGTTCTGAGCTTAAGCAAACAGGGGCCAAAGTTAAGTGAGAGAGTATTTGTGTTCCTAAACAAGGAGGGTTAGGTTTTAGATCATTGAAAATTTGGAATAAAGTCAATATGATTAAACACCTTTGGGCTATAAGTATGAAGGCTAATTCACTTTGGGTTGAATGGATACATACCTATATTTTAAAGGATCAATGCTTTTGGCTTATTGATGTCCAAATGATTCCTTATGAACTATGAGGAAGATATTCAAGCTTAGAGAGATTGGGCAGGCTCTTATTCATTACAAAATAGGGGATGGCACATCCACCTTCTTATGGCTTGATAACTAACATCTAGTGGGGCCTCTTTATCAACATTTTGGAAGTAGAATTGTGCAGAATATTGGTAGAGCTCTTTATGTGAATGTTTCAAGTGTTATAGTTGTTGATGCTAGCATTGGCCTAGATTAAGAAATAGAGTAATTCAACAAGTTATTGCTTTAACCCCTCATACCCTTATTCCTAATCTGCACAGATCTGATGAAGCTGTTTGGTTACCTTCAAAAAGTGGTAGTGTAGCCCAGCTTTTTCGCGCCCCCCTTTTTCGCAAGCTCGAAAAGAAGCCCTACAGTTCAAACTCTCGTGGTTCTAAATCTAATCTCACAAGTGCAATGTGAAACTGATAATCACCAAAGAGTCCAAATCCGACAAATTGTTTTGAAAAATTGATTTTGAATCAAAAAGTGCCAAAATTAGACTGCTTTGCCAGATACAGAGTCGCCATCTAAATATTTTATTTTCGGGGAAATTAGGAAACCCATGACTTGTGCCAAAGGCCACGTTTCCGTCATCACCAAAGTTGCCTCGGCTCGGGAACTTAGGTACGAAAGGGGAAGGTCATGAATTGAGCACTCCCGCTCGCCCAATCAAAGATCGGCCTCTACTAATCATGATATGATTTTTTTATAAACATTATGTGCTCTTATTGATTATTAAGCTACCTTTACTATATGATGTGCACAAGCAAGTATAGACTAATTTGATCAATTTAGAACAATTCAACTCATGTTTGTTTGCAAAAAATGGTTTGAAGTTGCCACCTCAAGTGGGCTTAAAGATTGTGGATTTGCCACCAAACATAGTGGGCTTAAAACATGATTTTCCACTTAACAAAGTGGACTTAAAACGCACATTTGTTGAATCGTTCTAATTCAAACAATAAGCCTTCATTCACAGGCATTCAAGCAGTTTAGCATTTAAGCACATAGCCTCATGGCAAGCATGCTAGACATGGCAACATTCACATTCATGTAAGTATGCTAAAGCCTAAAAACTCACCTAGTACTCCAAGCTAAGAAGATATGAGTTAGAAAAATATGCATGGTTCCTAACTATATTAAGTGTCTAATGCAACACACACAATATGCAATTAATAGGCTCGACTACTAGTATGGCATATGGATCGATTTGATAACATGCGGTTAAATACATATTCAAATAAATATTGAAATAACAATGCAGTTTGAATACTGCGCTGAGCCTCGGTGCATGCAATACAAATGAATGGATGCAAGCATAAGGTATGCTAATTGAAACATATCCCCAATCTAACCATCGAAAGCGGGTAAATAAAAAAAAGAAAGACGTGGGGTTGGAAAAAATACACACACACGCACCCTTATGTAGACACCCCATTTTTGACCGACCTTAAGACTCAGACGTCATCGATTCAGCGCTCGGTGATTGCGCATGTTGTGCTCGTTCTGAGGTTACGGAGTCTCGGCTGAGAGCCTTGCCTCCGGACTTCGGGACTCTTTTGTGCTTTACCTCGGTTTGCGAACCAAGTTCTGTTTTCTCTCCCCAAAGGGAGGGAGAGGTCTCATAGACCATCTCTCAGTGGCCGTAGGCTACTTTTCGTGGTCGCAGGCCACTGTTCCCGTTTGGAGACCAGTTTTTGATTTTTAGAGCCGTCGGCCGTGCGCCTCGGTTCGGGACCGCTTAACTTTCTCCGTTTTGCTCCGGTTTTTGGCACACACCTTGTTTCCTCTCTCTAGAGGGACACTGTGGCCCGAGAGACCACCTTCGTGGTCGCACGCCACTTTTGATGCTTAACAGTCAGTTTTTGGGGCACCTGGCTGCGCGTTTTGGCCCCCGAACCCTCGTTTTGCATCCGTCTTGGTTCATTTTTGGCATGGACCCTATTTTCATTGTTTGGAAGGTGGTACAAGGGTGGGAGACCACCTTTTATCCTTGGAGACCACCTTTCCCTTCGCCGGCCGATTTTCTTGACAGGAAGCTGGTCTCCTTGGTTTTTGGGCCACATTTATCGGTCTCCCACCATACCACTTGCTTGCATTTCATGTGGGGACCACCTTGGGAGGCTGCCGACCACTTGAACCTTTTGACCCTAGTCGGCCGACCACTTGAACTGGTCGGCCAGCTCCCATCAGTTTTGTCTCAGTGAGTTGATTCCAGTTGTGCCAGTTAGGAGGCACAGACTGCATCCTCCATACACGTGTATGAAGGATGTTTGCCCTTGGTTTTAAGCTTCTAGGAGAAGCTTTAGTCCCTCTTGTCTATAAAGGAAGGGCTCCCCTTCCTTGTAGAGGGTTCAAAAAAAAATATTGTCTAAGGCATACAAGACTTCTCCCTCTATATCTCTACATCCAAGCTCAAAAAGTGCATGGTTCTTGTACCTTTGCATACCATCTCCCAACCTAACCCCTCCACCATCACTCTAAGCATCTTGGAGGTCATTTTCAGAGACTGAGAGGCTGTCTTTGTGGTCCAGAGGTTGCTGGTCCTTTTGTGCTACAAGGATAACACATTTTCTACCTTTTAAGGCTTTATTTTGCTTCTTCTTTTAGCTATCCTTGCAAGCATATTTGAGCTTTGGTGTAAACTTAAAAAAGTCTTATTTTTAGGCCCTTAACATGTTTGTTTAAGATCATTTTTCTGTTGGGGGTCATCTACCCCCTTGCATGCTTCATTTTACCCTGTTTTGAGCCATGCCTTAGAGCAATTGTGTTGGCCTTTGTTTGGCCTTTTAGCCATTGAAATCCAGTGGATTTTCAATGGCTAGCATGCTATTTTGAGTTCCAAAATCAGAGAGGGGTGACCCTCTCTCTCCTTGTTTTGTTTTCTAGTATTTTGGCCTTACAAAGGAGCCCCTATTTGCATGCTTCCAAGCCATGTTTCAGGCCATTTTTGATGAGTTTTAGGACCTGCATAGGCTCTGTCCAGAGCTTGTTTTTCCATATTGGATGTCCATCTTGCATGTGTAGAATA